TGGTTCTGAATACTAACATTATATGAGGAAAAGTATTATAAAACACTAACCTAGGGACTCTCAAATGGCAGGGGAGGGATATGTGTCAGGATATCCTATGGAGTTTTATGAAACCCCTACACAGGTTCCTGAGATTCTGGCACAGCCATGTTGATTTATTAAAATAGGGGTGAGGAGTACTGTGTAGTTCTAAAATATATTCTCTCCCTTTGAGAGGCACATTTTCCTTTCCTTCCATAGCTCAACGTGGTTTTCCATTTCTGAAATACCTGTTTGCACAAAGGTAATAATGCAACTGTAGAGATTTATTTAGATATAAATTATCACAAAACTTTCAAAGGGTAGGACCTAATAGAGACCCAAGAACAAAGGCTCTCTGAAAGGGAGGAAAGGAGAAAATGAAAGGAATGTTATTGTGCTAGACTTTACATATATTATCTCATTTACTTATCTGAGTAAATCTGCAAGCTAGCAAATCTTCAAATGAGAAAACCAACTAAATTGCCTAAGCCACAAGGTAGCAAATGAATCTTCCTCCATTGCATCATTAGGGTAAGTCTTCCTCAAACGGTCTCATGTACTTTAAAGTTTGGAAATGTCACACTAGGATCTTGGCACAGAAATGGGCTATGACTTCCTGTGCCATCTTCATTCCAATAAGTAACTCAAGAGTCTGTATAAACTTAGTTCTAAATTACCAAGTGCGTGGTAGAAAGCTAAGTCCATCCAAAAGCAGTTACTATGGTGAACCCGACCCTGATTAGAAAGTGACACAGGCTGAGCGTGGTGGCTCACGCCTGTAATCCCAGCACTTTGGGAGGCCGAGGCGGGTGGATCACTAGAGGTCAGGAGTTCGAAACCAGCCTGTCCAACATGGCGAAACCCTGTCTCTACTAAAAATACAAAATTAACCAGGCATGGTGGTGCATGCCTGTAATCCCAGCTACTCAGGAGGCTGAGGCAGAGAAATCGCCTGAACCTGGGAGGCGGAGGTTGTAATGATCCAAGATTGTGCCACTGCACTCCAGGCTGGGCAACAAGAGCAAAACTCCATCTCAAAATAAATAAATAAATAAATAAACAAACAAATAAAAAGGTGTGGTTAAGAGGGAAAAAAGTTCTGCCTCTGGGGTCAGATAAATACTAGCACTCTGACTTCTGTCATTCTACTTCCGCCATTCTTGATGGCATCATTACACGTTAAATCCCGTACCAGGGATTTAATTACTATTTAATTACTATTATCGTTGTTCCCACCACAAGAATTTAGTTCCATGAGAATAAGGAGCGTGTCCATTTTTTTCATTGCTATCCTCAACATCCTGAACATGCAAGCACCAAATAAATAAATAAATGATTGTCAGTGGAATGAAACAATGAATGAGCAAGCCTCACTCTTCTCATCTGTGAAACAGACATAATCAAGCTACTTTTCGCAATTGGGAGAATTAAATGAGACGGTATGTGTTTGGCACACAAAGGACCAAAAAACCAAGTATCTTCTTTGCATTTCCACCTGACAAGCTAGAAATGGATTATGTTCCGGACCAGTACGGCAAAACAGACAGCGCCTTGCCCGAGGCCCAGGCAAGAGGCTAGAGAAATTGTAAACTTAAGAGCTGTCACACCCAAAGCCTGGGGAAGGCCGGCGACGAGCAGAAGGTGTCCGGGGCCGGGTGTGAGGAGGATCCGGGAGAAAAGGACAGGCCCGGGCCCGGCGTGTGGAGGGAAGGGGAGAAGGCCGGCCCGGCTCGGCAGGCAGACAGGAGGAGGTGCCCGGGCCCGGCGTGTGGAGGGGAAGAGAGGAAAAGGCAGGCCGGGCCGGGTGTCGGTCGGGTCGCGAAGGGACGGACAAAGGCGAGCCCAGCGGGCCAGTGGTCATCGTGCCTCCACCCGGCCCATGGCGTTCTTACCACGTCCGAATGCCTCTCCGTGCGATCCGAGGGGACCTTGGATGGACTGAGACACGGCCCCACACGAACCGAGGGCCCACAGGCAGAGTTCTCGCGATAACACAGTCTTCCTCCCAGGGCTCTCGCTATACATCTGACAGTCTCGCGAGATCTCCGCTCGGGTCAGCCAGAAGCCCCTGACTGCCCTCTAGAAGGCGCAAAGCGCAGGCGCAGACACCCTCCCCGCCCTTGCGCAGTGTCCTTTCGCCCTTCGTAAATAAATCAACTTAAATGAAGCAAACCTTTTTTTTTTTTTTTGAAGGCAAATTCTGTGCCAAGGACCATCCCAAGTGATTCAGATGTCCTCACAAACTAGATATTATTTAGGTTCAACGTTCAGATGCAAAAATGAGTATCATAAGACACAAAAGGCTATATGATGTATGATTCCACCTTTGCCACATTTTTTTTTTTTTGCCAAAGATTGAGTAAATAGACCGGCTGCGAGGGCTCACTCCTGTAATCCCAGCACTTTCAGAGGCCGAGGCGACTGGATCACGAGGTCAGGATATCTAGACCGTCCTAGTTAAGGCGGTGAAACCCGACTCTACTAAAAATACAAAAAACTGGCTGGGCATGGTGGTGCGCGCCTGTAGTGCCAGCTACTCAGGAGACTGCGGCACGGGAACCGCTTGAACCTGGGAGGCAGAGTTTGCAATGAGTCGAGATCAGACCACTGCACTCCAGCATGGGCGACACAGCAAGACTCCGTCTCAAAAAAAAAAGAAAGAAAGAAAGAAAAAAAACAGGTTGAGTAAATAAATAAATGTCAGAGCACAGATTTTTTTTCTTTGAGACAGGGTCTGGCCCTGTTGCCCAGGCTGGAGTGCAGTGGCACAATTTCAGCTCACAGCAACCTCTGCCTCGTGGGTTCAAGTGATTCTCCTGCCTCAACCTTCTGAGTAGCTGGGATTACATACAGACACGTAACCTGGTGCCCGGCTTTAAAATTTTTTAGTATGGAGACAGGGTCTTTCTGTGTTACCCAGGCTGCTCTCAAACTGGGCACAAGCGATCCTCCCACCTCACCTGGGATTACAAGCCTGAGCCACCATGGCCAGCCTACAGCCCAGATTATAACCCACATTATTTACTTGTGACCAGATGTTAAAATAGCCTTTCTTTCTATCTCAGTTTCCACAGAGGTCTTCCATACTTGGTTGGCAACTGCTTCCCCACATTCCCCAGAAAAGTAGATGATCATAGCAGGGTTTTATGGATCCCACCCAAGGGTGACTCGTACAAGGGGCAAGGCAACCTTATTACAAAACAACAGAAGAGTAGATTCTGATGCAGAAGCTAAGACAACAATCATAGGCTGTGAGTGGAAGGGGAGCTGTGGAGAGAGAGGCCCACAAAAGTCCCAGAGGAAGTCAGCCTAGAACATGACCCCAGGCAGAAGGAGCCCTTAACTCTCCTGTCCCCCATTCCCTCTCAGTTCAGATGCAGTCCCTGGAAGGAGACTTTGTATAACTCAAAATTTAACTCAGACCACTTTTTAAAATTATCTGAAGGTGACCAACAAAGCTAAGGGACCTGTCTAGATTGCTCAACTGGCCCACATAGCATGTTTAAACAGATGGGGGACAAGGGAAAATAAAGCTGTTTATCAGTTGCCCACTGATTGTTCAACAGATGACTGTTTGCCCATTTCTGATCTGTCACGTACACACAGCTGA